TTGCAAAAACAATTTGCGTATAAAGCAGCAATTCCATCTCTTTCAGGAAAATTGGTGCAAAATAAAAAAATGCAATTATTCTGTCACATGACTTGAGCAAATCTTGGATTTTTTGTTTTTCCATCATAGTATTCAAGTAGTACATTAATCAATGTAACCATCTTAAGTGAGTGTATACATTTTTCATGCACTTTTTATGTTGGCCTTTCCATTCAGTAATTTTTTTTTTCTTTTTTGCGAAATCCTAATATTTGCATTAAGATATGTGAATGGAAACCCAGATAATGACTAAACAGGTAGTATTTTGCATGTACCACCTTTAGAACGAGACCGGCTTCCAGGATGCCATAATGTCTAAAGATCTAAAACAAATTCAAGGGGACTTTAGGACATAACCGAGCAAACATGGACACTGTACAATGCTTATTTTCAGCTTTCGGACACAGCCAAAGTATGCTGAATGTCACACTCGTGTTCCACACATCCCTTAAAAGAACTGTCGAGCAATCATTCAAACAGACGTCTCTCTCAGCGAGATGCACTCGTGCATGTATGCGATCATACACACACCCCCAAACCATGAGCATTTCTGTCAGAGGTGAACACACACACTTACCATCCACCTCACATGCACACACAACCACACTCTGTCTGTGTGTGTGTGTGTGTGTGTGTGTGTGTGTGTGTGTGTGTGTGTGTGAGTGTGTGTGTGTGAGAGAGAGAGAGAGAGAGAGAGAGAGAGAGAGAGAGAGAGAAAGTGACTCGAAGGGACATTTTACAAATGCTGCATGTCAAGGAGGAGGAGAGCAGCACAGCAATTCATCCATCACCACCATCAAACACACCTCTAACCAGGAACGAGAGAGCGAAAGGTGTCATCGGAGCTGGGAGGGAAGGGGGAAGTTGAAAGGAAAGAGAGAGGACCGACAAAGAAAGAGAAAAATACAGACAGGGAGGAAGAAAAAAGCTCTATATGTTAGAAAGAGATAACTACAACAGACATGTTTATTCTTTACTCATCCTCATGTCATTCCAAATCAGAACTTCCTTTTTTTCTGCTGAACACACAAGGAGAAACTTTAAAATTTCTTCTGGTCGAAAGCACAATAATAGAATCATAAAGGGGTCCAGATAATGTGTGTTTCATATTTAAATTCCCCTCTAGTAAACTGTTAACAGGATCATTGAGTTTAACAGTTCAGTCCAATTGTAATAATTCATTGTGAACCGGGTGAACCGGGTCAACTGACTCACTGGCAAAATAAGATTGGGAAGAATGTCGGATTCTTTATATATTTATCAGTGAATGAAATAGTTCAATCTGAATGTAAATGAATCATTCACTGTGAACCAAATCAACTGAATCAAATGATTTGATTCAGAAGAATGTCTGGTTCATGAACTAATCCTTGCTACTTCTCTTTTGAAATTTTTATCTATTTGTCAGTTAGTCGAACAGTTTAGTCAGGCTGCAAATGTATCATTCATTGTAAACCAAATCAACTGATGCATTAAAAAGATCTGATTCAGAAGAGCATCTGATTCATGAACAAAGAGTTGCTACTTCTCTCTTAAATCTTTATCTATTAATCAGTGAGCTGAACAGCTCAGTCAGATCGTAAATGAATCATTCAGAATTATTCATTCATAAACTAGATCAAGTGATTCATTGAAAAGGATCAGATTCAGAAGAATGTCTTATTAATTCAGATGTATGTTTGACATCATTCTCTTCTCTTTTAAATTTGGGAGTATTTAGAAGATTTAGAATATAGCACGTAAATCATATGAACCACCTGTTATGCTTT